GCTGGTGAAGATTCTCAGTCATCCAGGACATGATGAATTCAAAAAGAATTGAATTGAGAAAGCTCCTCGGATGAGGAGCGAAACGTCTTCTGTTACACATAAAGTCCAGTTGTTTTTGTATTGAACACTTTTTGAATTTATAATGCCAAGACCTAGACCAGGGTCTGCAGTCTGTGGCTCTTTGGTCCCTCTGCAGCATCTCTTTCAAGTTTTGACCAAAACTAACATAGAACTGTATTTCATTGGTTGTTATACAAACACGCACAAAAATCAGTATCAGCAGTTTTCATTTTTCTGTTTTTTGGTAATTTCATTAGCATATGTGAATACTAGAACTAATACAAGGAGTAAAACATACTCACTTAAACTTCACACTTAATTTCTATACTTACAATTATTTTTCCACAATTTAAAAAAATCACATAGGTCTGCATAGTTCATAGTTTTTTTGTTTTTTTTTTAATAATTGGAAAAAACAATGTTCCTGCCTTATCAGAGTCTGGTCTTTTCTTTTGTTTTAAATTATAAAAACAGAAATAAATGTTAAAAACCATTAGATATTTTTAGCTTTATAATGTGTGACCCCTACTGGTCACAAAAGCCCCCTCCACCAAACCTAAAGCAGCCCACGGGCCACCACTTGATAACCACGTTTGTTGCAGCTCTGGACACAATTAATTTAGTGAATGAAGCAAAAATGGCTCTTTTGATCATAAAGGTTGCAAACCCCTGACCTACACCTATATAAGACCTAGCATTCCTTGAAGAAATAATACCTCCCATATTTCATGCCTTACTTTTAGATTAAGCTAATCCCATGTTGAGAAATGTATTACAAAGTTGGACAAACTTTAAATATGACATTATGTATAATCTCATGCAAAACAGTACTATCTTCCATAATCCATTAGCTTCAAAAAACGTTCAATACAAAAACAACTGGACTTTATTTGTAACAGAAGATGTTTCATATTAAAGTCCAGTTGTTTTTGTATTGAACTTTTTTTTTAATTTATAATGTCCTGGATGACTGAAAATCTTCACCAGCACATAATCCATTAGTGCTTGAAGTATGTGTTCTGAGCCACTGTCAGCTACAAATTATAGCTGAAATGTGTACATTTTATTGAGTTAAAGCCATTTTTATTTGCTTGCTAAGGTCAGCTGATTGTGACTGCCCTCTTGAATTGGGCTGACTTCAAAAGTTAACGTTTAATTTTTTGATTCATTTCTGCAACTTCATTAAAATTCATTCAGTGGTTTGTTAAATGTTTTAATAATTGCCCACCTTTTGCCTTTTGGTGGTGTGTTATACTAAGTTTTTATTTAGTTTCATTATGTTTTCCAATAGAAACAAAAGCCTAAAGGACCTCTGTATATATCAGTTTCACTGTGGAAAAATAAAACTTGTTGCTTTGTAAACCAGATCTTGCTTCTTTTTTTTTTTTTTGCATGATTAGACTGGAGCAGAAAAGTTCTCTTCTGCCTTCATCTTTATGATCAAATTACAGAATTATATTTTCCAGCAGCCATGTTGATGAATTAATGCGCCAGATTCATCTGCACATTGAACAGATTTGCCAAAGAGCAGTGAGGAAGCCTATAGCTTCACACTTCAGTGCCGTTTGTCTGGAACGCTCATGTGAGCTTGTGAGATCTAAATGTGCTGAGCAGAAACGCTGCAGCTTGTTACGTCTCAGACTCGGCCTGAATCTCTCAGCATTCAGTGGCCAGACGTCTCAGAAGAGTCTGAAGACAGACGGTGAAACCAGGAAAGTAAAGAAGGAGAGGGTGACGGATAAATACTGCAGGACGCAAAGTGAGGCTGAAGGTCTGAGGGTGGGATGATGTGTGCGTTATCACATAGGAGACAGCTGATTGGAAAGATAAGCAGCCATTTTGGACAGTTTTAAACTGACAGGGGAGAGAGACATTCTGCTAGAAAGAAACTGGACTCTGAGATAGAAACGTTCAATCTTTCAAAAGTTTTCTTTGGGCTTAAGTGGCTTTTTTTTGTCCAGTACTTGATCCTTTTCTTTTGTAGTGTACCTTTTAGTCACATAATTCTGAGAAATTATTCATTCAAACATTAATAAACTCCCAAACACTAAGGATAAATCCATTTTTTGCCAACACATTCTATTTTTTTTATTTTTGTTTATATGGTTTCTTGTGTTTGCTTTTGTTTTTTTTTTGACTACTTGTATTTGTTGTGTTGTGTGTAAGGACAGCTGTTGTAAAATGTGCTATATAAATAAGCTAGAGAAACTGCATCTCCTGTGAAATGCAACATGAATGCTTATTGCTGAAAACTGCTGAAACCAGCTGAAAAGGTTTCATCGCTAAACTGAATTTGAACAGCTGACATTTGATGAAAGCAGGAAAACGTTCAGCTGTAGCACACGAGTAGAATAAGCTGAAATAGGCAGAGAGAGGCTGAATAGATTACAAAATATATGAAATTAGTGGAATTAAACTGAAATAGGGATTAGTGGAGTAGAGGTTAAAGAAGGTGGGCCTGTGATTGGAAGGTCACCGGTTCAACTTCCTGGACCGACAACACCCAAATGTGGGTGGGATAAGTGATGCAACCATACCTGCCTCCACCCTCATTTGTGCCACTCTGGGCCTTTGAGCAAGGCCCTTAACTCCCACCATCTGTTCCCTGGGTGCCCTAAATGGCAGCTCTCTGCTCCACACAGAAGACTGTGGTAGCTCGGTGGTCTGTGGTAGAGTCAGGAAGGGCATCCGGCATAAAAACAGTTGACAAGTCTTTGTGCAAGTTAGTTTGTTGTGGCAACCCCTGATGAAGGGAGCAGCCAAAAGAAGAAGAAAAAAAGTGGAAAAAAATGAAATAAGCAGAAAACAACTCAAATTACCAAAAAGGTAGCTGAAAATGAAAAAAAAAAAAACCAGCTGAAATTAGCAGAAAGAAAGAAGATGAAATGAGCAAGAAATGTTGACATTATCAGAAAGAAGCACAAAAAGTGGAAATTAGCAGAAAAATATGTCAAAAGTAGCTGGAAAAGCAGAAAAAAACCATCAGAATTCAGCTGAAATAACTGAAAGGAATATAAAAAGATGAAATGAAAGAAGCTGAAAGGAGCTGACACATAGCTGGAAAAAGCTGAAAAGATCATAAAGAAGCCAAATAAACAAACAAACAAACAAACAAACAAAAAAGAAGCTGAACCAGAAGAAAAACTTAAATGAGCAATAAAAGATTGTGAACAGCTCAAAGGATGTGGAGGCTCCATTTTCAATGAGAAAAACATGGCTGACAAAGTTATATATTTCTAAAAGTAAAAATTGCAAAAAATACCTAAAGTCACAGTAAAAATGTCCCGAGTGAGCTCATCGTTTTGATATATGGAATGAGCTACGTGCCGAAAACCGTACGGAAGGAAAATGGATCTCCAAAGTGTGAAGCTTTACGAACATTCACACTATTAGATTTTATTTGAATAATACTATTTAATGATAATTTATTATAGTCTCTTTCTTTATTTGTCTCCAGCCCTTGAGTACCACAATCTCAACACATCAGCAGCAACCAGGAGCTACTGGGTGATCACAGGTAAACACCTCAGGAACACACTCATAGACTGGGTGATCAGCAGCAATCGAGCGCTGCATCGATCGGACACAACAGCAGTTAGTTAAATGCTTTGTGCACGCTGTTGTGCAAGTCAGCAGAATTGTCTCGGCTCTATATATTTTCATGTCCTCCGTCCTCGTCTTTCACCTCGTTCCATGTTTGTCTGCTCCCTGGCCGTTCACGCTCAGTCTCTTTAGCAGCTCGGCTCCTGGGGAAACCTACTGATGTATAATTCAGAGCATGCTGACTGTTGCTGAGGGAGAGATCACTTCGCATCACGTCACTGACGAGTGTGTGCGTGTGTGTGTTTCTCACCTATGGCCTGTAGTAAGAGGGCACCTGTGTTTGTGTTGTTTTTGCACAGATCTGTGTGTTTCTTTGTGCATAGAAACTGTGAGATCTCTACGAGCAGCATTTAAGCAGAACAATCATCTATCGTCCATCTCTACAATACACTCCTCATCTCATCTCTCTTCATACTCATCTTCCTCAACCATTTTTTCCTCTCTTTGTTTTCTTTCTTTAAATTTTTCCATCTATTTTCTTAGTTTGTGTACACAGACACCTCTTTCCCTGCTTTTAAATCCTGTCATCTTTCGTTTCCTCTCGCAGTGATCCAGGATGTGGACAGCTCCTCCCTGGAGGCCAACTACCAGAGCTTTGCCAGTTTGATGGAGCAGCGGCTGGTCGAGCTTTTTCTGGTCGCTGGCAGACAGGGCTCTCGAACGGCCAGGTCCCGGCGGGCCACTACTGTGGGCAGCTACACCGTACAGGTCAATAGAAGTGGAGTTTTTATGTGTAGAACAGTGTTGTCAAGGTGAAGATCTCAAGAGATAAAGAATGAATTGAGTGTTATTTATTTTTTATTTACAAGATAATGTCAGTCCTAACTCCACCTCCTGGCCATAAATTTAACATCACAAGGGGTAGTGGAAAATACTTCACTACAAAAAGCAGAAGAGACCACTGGGCTGTGGCTGTTGGAGACCAGTGAGCGACTCAAACTCGACTTAAAGCTGTGAATTTTCTGTCGTCTTACTGAATTCTGAGCACTTGCAGCCAAGCGACCAGCGAGCCATGGTTTTTGAAAATCGCAGCTTATTTTTATGTGCAATGCTTGAATACTTTTATTATTATTATTATTATTATTAGTTTATTTGACAGGGACAATGCACACAAACATAGAACAGGACAAGTCTATGACTGATGCGTTGCACAAAGAGTATATAGCTATAGCTAATTTGAAACTCCAGTCCCTGGTTGGGCATTTCTACTCATTAAAATACATACAATTTATCAATCAAAATACAGTAAGAATACCAATGTATTTCTGTCTATATATTCATGTAATCAACCTAACAACCTCCAAATTCATATAATAAAAACTATACATTAAAATATGAACAATTTAAAAATCTAGGTACAATAAAAATACAAAACATTTTCCTGTCTATAAATTCTAAAATAACCTTGCAACCCCCAAATTTACATAAATATCCAAGCACATCCTCAATACCTCCCCATCCTCGGTCTTGGCCCTGCACATTATTTAACTGCCCACCTTGTCCTGCTTGGACACACTTTAGCAGCCGCCTCAGATTTAATCTACTTAATTACACTTTAGAAATAAAGATATGCAGAGTTCAACCATTTTTTTAATAACCACCCCTGAAGCCTCAATGGCCTTTTGACCCAGCAGGAGGGTTATGTTTATAGTTGTGTCTGAAACCAGGTAGGAAATTTAAACACTTGTCTCAAACCGAATGGAAAGATGATATTTATCAAACTCTTTCGCTCTGGAGCTAAAGTATTTATAACTCACAGGAAGCTGTGTGTACAGTAAGTCACCAGCTGTGACCGCATGCTTCACTATATAAACTCTAGATTTAGAGACTTGGACATCGCTTCAGGCAGACTTGAGTTGGGACAGTTTTGACAACCTGGTGAGTCAAAAGAAGGTGAGATATTCTGAGCGGAAAGGCTGCGGGCAACCAATTTCATGGTTAAATGTAACAGCTAGCATCTTTGAAGTCAAAAGAGAAGAAAAGCAACTTGTTTGTGATTTAACTTTGGCTTGAGGTGGGTAAAACTAATGAAATGAACCAAGAGGAAGTTGAAGCAGTCGTGAGCACAGAAGCACTGAGGTTTGCCCGCTTGTTATTTTCAGTATTTGTCACCTCTCTCTGCTCGCTCTTCCATATTGTGCAAATTAAGACGACGTTTGACTCCTCGCGGGCCATGGACTTTACACCCCCTCGAGGTTTTACAGTCCTTACAGATGACCAGTTTTATGGCTGCAGGGTGGAGGAGGGGGAGAGCTGACAGAGAGGCAGGGTGGGGGTGTAGTCAGTGGAGAAAACCTCCAGCCTGTTAATAACACATATCCGTTCTTTTTATGGCAAAATCAAATTACCAGACTTGATTAAACTGTGTGATGTTTGGGGAAAAAAGAGCGTTTGATGTATGATGAAAGGAAATTGGGATTTCAAGTGACTCAGTTATCCTCAAGTGTCTTCACAGAATGCATTTATTATTTGCAGCAAGTGCTCGACTTGATCAAAGTAAGTTAGGTTAGTCATTCTGATTGGGCCACAGATTTAAATCCTGTTGCTGTGATGAGATAAGGGCTTTTGTGTTTAATTAAACCATAAATATGATGTAAAAACCTTCTTTACAGTCGCTATTTTACCTTTCTCAGATGGTGAGCATTCGTCGGCTGCCAGGACCCAAGAATCCAGCCGAGATGACCTACTACGCCCAGCAGAACGGAGATCCCATCACAGGAAGCACAGCTGCTAAGACCCTGAGCAGTCTGGACTCCCAGACCATGGCTCTAACGCTGGGATACTTCGTACAAGTTCAGGCTGAACGTAAGCTCGTCATTGTGTTCGTTTGAAACCACAAATTAAATGGGGCGAGTTTGAGACCAAACGAATCGCACAGAAGAGACGGCTCTCAGTAAAAGTTTTACATTAAAAATCCATCCATGACAGTTAAGGTGTTTAGCTCATTTTAGCTTTTAGCTACTTTTCTACTAATTTTAGCATTCAGTTACTACTTTGCTACTTTTACCACTGTTCTGATAGTTTTAGCTTTTAGCTACAGTTTAGCTAATTTTGGCTTCTAGTTGCTGTGCTGCTATTTTTTTGCATTTAGCTGAAATTCTGCTTGTTTTTCTTTTTGCTACTTTTCTGCTAATTTTAGCTTTTAATGTCTGATAATTTTAACATTCATTTACTGCCTTACTTATTTGCTTTGGTTTTGCACAATTTAGCTTTTAGCCACTGTTCTGCTGCTTTTAGCTTTGTTTGGCTAATGCTAGCTTTAAATATTTAACGTTTTCAGTGTTTGTTTTGCTAATTATAGCTCTTGTTTTGATCATAACACTTCATAACACTGTTTTCTGCTTCTTCAACAAGTTTCACCAAAGTCGTTCAGCAGTGAATATTTGCAACCCCCCAAAAAACTATATTTTTTAGCTTGAAAATTGTCGTTTTCTAAAAATATTTGCACAAAAATGGAGTCCATGAAGTTTGTGAAACTATTTTCTTCTTTAGGATAATATTTTTTTGAATTCTTAAGCGTTCCCACCATCTTATGCACATATTTTCTGTGACATAAATATCACGTTGAACATATTCAGCTCACATTTTTCATTCAGCAGCCTTTGTTCAGACACAAGGCTTCTGAAAACGTTCCAGCCTAAATGCTCTTTGGGATTCATCTGCCGAGCTGAAGCAGAGCTGGCTTGGCTTACCGTGACATTTTGTAGCATTTGGGTTTCCATAAATTTTCCTACATTTCCATAATCTGCATTCACCTAACTTCAAAGCTCAGGTTTGAAGTCTAAACTACAGATTGTTTTTATGCACTGCTGTACTGTAATATGAGAAGATTGTAATTTAAAATTATTACTTTTTTGTGCAGCATCTGGTAAAAAAGAAGTGTTTCCTCTGGTTTTTCTCTGCCAGTATAATTAGGTAATCATCAGTTCCCTTCGCAGCTCGTTCTAAAAGTGTTGAAGAGGAGAACAGAGTATAGTGTTTCTGTAAAACTCACTCAGTTCGTCTTTATTGGCTCAGAGAAAACCAACAGTATGAATCCTAATAATGAAAACACTTCTGTCGCAGATAGGCTTCAAAACCAAGTTAGATTTTCAAGTTAGAAACACCGGAAAGTTTTATTTAGCTCTTTTTCGAGAGTCTACAGTTTTATTTTACTACATTTTTTTCTTTTAACATATAAAAATGTAGGGAGTTTAAATACATGCACATTATTTTTTTAAGCAAAACCGAACACCAGATTGACGTTTCTCTGGCTTTAAAGGCAAGAAAAAACAAATCAGTGTAGCAGCGTCTTGATTGGTTGGTGAATGTATTCATAAAAGTGTTTTGATGACAAAGTACCCTCTCTACTTTAAGGAAGCGCAACGTTCACCTTTCAACTGGGCACTGAGCAGCGTCAACTGTGTGGATGTAGTTCCTTGATTTGGTTGTGCTGATCGTTGTGTCATGGCGATGCAATGCTTTGAGCCGTTGCCTCCCAAAGAGAAGAACGCAGGTTCGCCTCCCAGCCTGGGGCCTTTTTGTGTGGAGTTTGTATGTTTTTCCTGTGCTCTCATGGGTATTCTCTAGGTAATCTGGTCTCCTCCCACACAACAAAAACATGTATGTTAGCATGCATCTTAAACATGCAGCTGATCCTGTCTGTAGGTGATGGCGTGTCTGTCTCATTTATCTCTGTGTGTCCCTGTGATGGACTTGTGGCATGTCCAGGGTGTCCCCCACCTCTTGCACAATGCTTTTTTTTGCAGAATGGCGCCAGCTCCCCTTGACCTGGAAAGGTAAAGTAGATAAAAATTGAATGAATGGCTATATGGAATGACCTCATCAGCTGTCCTTATCATCTGATGAACCATAAAGCTGTTTGTTAAGTGCCAATAACCACCAGAAAAAACAGAGGGAGCTGTGGTGGAAAAGGAAGTTATTACTGATCATAAGAAAAATGTGGAACATAGGTGGACCTAAAATAGAGCTTTGGGTACACCTATAGAAAATCATTTAAATTTAAATCCATCCATCCATTATCTTTACACGCTTCTTCCTTCCTGGGTCTCGGTGGTCTCTGGTGTCCATGTCCATCAGTCACTGTGCGAAGGGCGGGGGACACCCTGGACGGAAACGAGACAAACAACCATTCACTCTCTCTCACACCTAGGGACAATTTAGAGTTACCAATCAGCCTAACATGCATGTTTTTGGTTTGTGGGAGGAAACTGGAAAACCCATAGAAAACCCACGCGTACACAGAGAGAACATGCAATCTCCACCCAGAAAGGCCCTGGCCGGGATTCGATCTGGCAACCTCCTCACTGAGAGGCGGCAGCTCTACCAGCTGTGCCACCATCCCGCTCAAATTTAATATTCTTACTGAATTTCTGCAGCGTCTCTAGTTTTTAAAAAGGATGTCATGGATATTTTTTTTTAACACAGACTTATAATGAGGACCAGAATGTCCTGGTGTTGATGCTTTTTGGTCTCTCTGTGTGTGTTTTGTAGCTGTGGTGAAGACACCGCCCAGCAACCTGTGGATCATGGCTGTTCTGACGCCGCTCTTCTTACTGATGGTTGTGATCGGAATGGTTGCCTTCATCCTGTGTAAGAGGAACAGAGTCATTTTCAAATCTGGTGCGTTCAGGACCTTCAAAGCACGTTCCAAGGTAAATCAGAATTAATTTTTTTACACATTCCTTCATGTACCTTTTTGTTCTTTTTCCTGCTCCTTCCTCATTTCTTGTCGATACTATAAATTTGCTGTTGTTCTTTCACCCGGACATGTTCAAAGCTCACTGCTTCAACCATTTTAATCATCTCTTCAGTTGAAACAAGATTACATAACCGTATTGCAAGTGCCACGTCGGACAAAAAGCCAATTGTGTCAAGCTGTTCCTTTGTGTCAGAAAAATGAGTTTCACCACTCATTTGTGTTTCTCACTACCCAGCAGCCTGTGGTCGTTGCTAATCATGCGTGTTGCAAAGACCAATCATCCAAAAGGAAAAGGACGGGGCTCTCTGTAGCAGAAGAGAACTGTAGGAGTTTCTGCCCCGTCACAAAAGACAGCATTCACTTATTATCAGCTAACTGGAGTTTAACGGAAAACAAATCACTTTTTATGTCTTTAATTGTTGACAGATGGTTTTATCAGGTCAGAAAAGTGTCTCAATACACGATGCCAGAACATCAGCTGTTTGTGCCGCTGCAGCCGGTGACGAGGAAAACTTGTCGGAAAATGATCTTTGAATAAATGCTTCTTATTTTGGTCGTACCTTTACAGGTTTTATTTTCACCTAAAAAGTTAATTTAAATCAATTTTACTCAAACAAATACATTCTTTGTTTTTTGTGAGAATTGATGAAGAAATGTGATGTTACATTTTTAAGTCATACAACAAATGTAGGTATATTGAAAAGCGTTGAGAGTCAAACTTGGGACATTTTAATTCAATTTTTGGTTTCAAATTAAATGAAAATACAACTTTCTTGGTTGTACTTGAAGAGGAAAAACAATTAGAATGATTTATTGTCAGTGGGATGCTAAAAATTACAAATCATAGCCTTTTTCCTGTCATCACTTTAATAGTTGATTTATTTTACAACAAAACAGAAACATGCAAGTTGTCAGCAGTCCTGCAGCCATAAACAATCTTTTTATTATTATTTTTAGTTTTATTTATACATACGGATTGACCCTGAAGTATCTGCAACGATTGGACCTCCTTGGCTTTTGTTCAGTTGTATGAATGACTGCAGAAATCAGCAAACTCACACATTCTACCCTGCTGCTCTTCCTGCATGACACATTACAACAATCCAGCCAAAATTACACAACCCCCTCCGCACAGCTGGAGCTTCGATGTCAGTTTTGTTGAGCAAAGTTGTTCAAATATAAAGCTGGTGTTAATGTTTTTTGTGAATTACCTTCCTTGTTAACGCAGATAAAAGTCAAGCCAAATTTATTTATAAAGCACATTTAGAAACAGAAGCTGTTACCAAAGCGCTTAACAATAAAAAAAAAAAAAATCAATGGCAGTAATTTAATGAAAAAAATAATCATTAAAAGCATCAAAAGAAAAACATAAAAACGCAAAACAATAAAATACTAAATCAAATCACACTGTGTTAAATGCCAGTGAAAACAGGTGTATTTTTAAAAGAGATTTAAAAGCAGGGAGTGAAATTCCCGTCTAATGTTGGGT